GTGATCGTGGTTCTACTAAAGTGCATCTGGGACTTGGTGTTGAGGTTCCTAATCTGAAAAGGCACATCGGAACAATGTCTTTTTACACGAACAATGACATACAATGCACAGATAAGGTAAAGGTCTTCCCCCTTTTTCTATCTCCAGCATCTGGAGGCATTGCTCAACTTCTGGCATTGGGGAGCTCCTGTTGTTCTATTTTCCATGCCAAAAGAGCCTGCTGTCCATAGACATCTCCAATCTTTTTGCTGGCATGTCTGCATGGGGCACTCTTTTATCTTCCTGCTGAGGCGGTACCTATTGATCTACTCACATTGCATGCTTTCAAACTGCTAGGTTGGCAGAAGCTAGGACTGACAGTCAAGAGCTCACCCTGACTCGTGGCTTCAAACTGTTGACCCTCCAGTCAGCAACCTTTTCTGCAGCTAGCAGCTTTAACTGCTGTGCTACCATGGCACCAATAAATAAATAATTACCAAAACAGAAATCACATCATTTTTCTGGGCATTATTGGTGCTTACAGATTTCAGGAAGGCAGTGGCTGAGGGCAGATAATCTACCCCTGGCTTTGGATAGCCTTGAAGGAACTATCAAAGATGCTGAAAATGTTTTGGGGAAAGGGTTTTGTACCTTGGAGAAGTCTAGACTCAAACCTAGGGTGCATTCACACTGCAAACTTAATGCAGTTTGACACCACTTTAACTGCCATCGCTCAATGCTATGGAATCTTGGATTTGTAATTTGTTGACATATCAATACTCTTTGGCAAAGAAGGCTAAAGAGCTTGTAAAACTACCGCTCCTGTGATTCTATAGTATTATCATTGAAACTATATGGGGTAAATGAAGTTGCAATTCCTCAGTGATGTGCACACATTATCATTATGTATTACAATTATTATTTATTAAACTTCCATGGCAGGTCGTGGCAGGTCTTTCTCAGTAGCAGCACCCAGACTGTAGAACTCCCTACCACAGGAAGTCAGATTGACTTCAGCCCCTTCCACACAGCTAAATAAAACCCCACTTCAAAGCAGATATTGTGGGATTTTCTGCTTTGATATAAATAAATAACCTGCCTCTCATAAGTCTGTGGACGCAGAAGCTACTCAGCATTGAGGGAGATATATTCTGCATGAGCTCAGAAGACTTTAAAAGGCATGCCACATCTGTCCTATTGAGGACTGGAACCAATTAAACCCTGTTTCTGTTGAGTCACTTTTCACTGGACGGTTATGTAAGCCGTGCCAGGCAAGAGAAAGGGCAGAGAGAGGTACACAGGGCATGCCATGGGCGACCGCATACTCTTATATCACTAAGTTTTAATATTCATGTTAGCTTGTGTTTTTTGTCATCTCTGAAGCAAAACCCATCCTCCCATCCATAATGCTCCACAAGCAATAGAGAGTCACAAACATGGTGACAAACCAATCTGTGTGCCCATTATAGAACGACATGCTGCAAAATATAAAATGTCATTGCACAAAGCTCTCTTTGCCTACAGCCAGACAGGGTGCCCCCTCCTTATTTTCTAGGGAATGGCAATTAGTATTATTCTACAGCATGTTCTGATTCACATAGTGAAAGTTAAGTTGGCAGAAACACAAGTGCCGGTTGCTTGGAGCTGAATGGCTGCCTTTGTTTTAACCTTCACCCTGTGAATAGAACAGGTTTCTTGGTAAATTTTACTTGGATATGAAAATTTAGGAAAACCCATTGTATTTTTACAAGGGTCCTACAAACAGTGTAGGGAAGGATAGGGTAGCAGCAATCTGTCATATAGGATGCAACACAGATGCGTATTAATTAAGGCATTCTTTTTTTAAAAAATAACTTGAAAAGCAATTATTCTTTTCTTTTTTTAAAAAAAAGCCCTTAATTTAATACTTTAGTATACATCAAAATATTTAAATATGGCGTCAACATAGGACACACAAAGAACAAAAAAAGGGAAGCATGCTTGGGGGCAACAAATGCTCAATGGGTTAGCCTTGTAGGGAAGGAATCACAATCAAAACACCCCCGACAGATGGCCATCCAGCCTCTGCTTAAAAGCCTCCAAAGAAGGAGCTTCCACCATACTCCAGGGCAGAGAGTTCCACTGCTGAACAGCTCTCACAGGCAGGAAGTTCTTCCTCATGTTCAGGTGGAATCTCCTTTCTTGTAGTTTGAAGCTATTGTTCTGCATCCTGGTCTCCAGGGCAGCAGAAAACAAATTTGCTCCGTCCTCCCTATGACATCCCCTCACATATTTATAAATGGCTATCGTGTCTCTTTTCTGCCTTCTCTTCTGAAGGCTAAACATGCCCAGCTCTTGAAGCCGCTCCTCATAGGGCTTGTTCTCCAGGCCCTTGATTGTTGTAGTCACCCTCCTCTGGACACATTCCCGCTTCTCAACATCTCCCTTCCATTTCGGTACCCAGAATTGGACACAGTATTCCTGATGTGTTCTGACCAAGACAGAATAGAGGACTAGCATGACTTCCCTGGATCTAGACACTACACTCCTATTGATGCAGACCAAAATCTCATTGGCTTTTTTTGCTGCTGCATGACATTGTTGGCTCATGTTTAACTTGTTGTCCACGAGGACTCCAAGATCTTTTTCGCACGTACTGCTCTCAAGTACTGCACCAGAGTTCTGCACCAGCAGAACCATATCAAGCCCTCACCCAACTAACCCTCTTCCTCAAAAGATTGGGCAAACTTGGACCACCAAGTTTTCCCCAGCCTCATAAACCAGCATCCTTTTCCTGCTGCTTTCATGGGACTCAGTGATGGCATGGTGCTCGCTTTAATGTCGCCTTTTGGGCTTGTGAAAACATATCTGTGGCAAGTAATCGAACTGAATAAAAATACCGACTTGTCTGACGATATGGACCTTCCACATACATACACACATACATACATACATCTTGAAATAGTTCAAGCAGAGACACACAGAAGGGTGGACTCTTAAATATGGGGAGCCCCCAGTGGCGCAGTAGGTTAAACCGCTGAGCTGCTGAACTTGCTGATCAAAAGCTCACAGGTTCGAATGCAGGGAGTGGCGTGAGCTCCTGCTGTTAGCCTAGCAGTTCGAAAACATGCAAATGTGAGTAGATCAATAGGTTCTGCTCCAGAGGGAAGGTAAAAGCACTCCATGCAGTCATACTGGCCACATGACCTTGGAGGTGTCTACAGGCAACACCGGCTCTTTGGCTTAGAAATGGAGATAATGAATCCCCAGAGTCGGACATGACTGGACTTAATGTCAGAGGAAAACCTTTACCTAGAAAAAGTCTAGATGCCATCATTGTTTCTTTCCACTGAGGCCCCTTCCACACAGCCCTTCATAATAATAATATAAATAATAATAAATAATAATAAATAATAACTTTATTTATATTCCGCTCTATCTCCCCAAAGGGACTCAGGGCAGATTCCAAACATAAAAGGCAAACATTCAATGTTCGAATACAACAACAATACATTCATACTAACAAAATTTATACAAATCAACATATAAATATACAAATTCTTACTTAACAAACTAAAATTAAATAAAAAGCACAGCCTGTTATAACAGACATGAGACAAAACATCAAACATCACCTGTTAACATCTGTTGATGTGTGAGAACTACTTACCTGGATTAGCTAAACTGCTCTCTGAGGCTTTTCTATCAATTCCTTGCTGATTGTGTTGGGCAGCCTTGGTGGCTCTGGTCCTCATCACAAACTTTTGTTATAATTGCATTGTCTACAAGATTGATAACTGAAAACTGCACCAATTGGCAAACGATCATGTCTGGCAATTTTAATGATTTTAATTTACAGTTATATGTTATTATTTTGATATATGTAATGTATTGTCTTTATTCGTATGTGAGGCACTGAATTTTTGCCAGTTATTATGCTGTACACTGCTTTGAGTCCCCTAGGAGTGAGAAAAGCAGTATAGATATGCAGTAAATACAAAATAAATAATAATAAAAATGGAAGTACCAATTTCCCATTTCCTTGGGGCAAATTGATGAATCATTTCTCAAGATATCTATTGAGCTGGTGAGGTGAGCAGGGCATGGATATGGATGGCAACTATTAATCAGAGGTATAATGGTAATATTAACAACTACTATTCCTCCTCCTCCTAAGCCAGGGAGCAAAGGTATGTCTTCAGCTGTTTATCCCAGAATATCAAGGCAGAAAATCCCACATTATCTGAGTGTGGAGTCAGATAACCCAGTTCAAAGCAGATACTGTGGAATTTTCTGCCTTGATATTCTGGGATATAGGGCTGTGGGCAGGCCCCTAGCCAGGATTTCGTTTCGGGGGGGGGGGGGGGGGGGGGGCAAAAAAAATTTTCAGGGGGGGGGGGGGGGGGGTTTCAGGGGGGGCTGAGTTTCGGGTTGGGGGGGCTGAGTCTGAGTGAAAGAGGGTCTAGCCTAGCAAACCTTTTGTTACCCCAATACCCCCATGCATATGGGATATATTGAGTATGGTGATCAGATCATGATATGAATAAACATAACAGTGTAAATAATGCACCAGTAAGGCCTTTTCGCGAACCACCATGAGAATTTCGGGGGGGGGGGGAAGCCCCCAAAGCCCCCCCCCCCCCCCCCCTCCCCCCGCTAGATGCCTGGCTGTGGGGAAGGACCCCCACTCCCCTCTTCCAGGCTGCTCGGCAAAGCGGCTTTGCCAACAGAAAGCAGCCCACGATGCCATCTTTCCATCTGATGCTAGTGGTACTTTCCATCAAAGACTGTTGTATAGGACGAGGTGCCCTTCTTGCCGGCTCTGTTCTCCCTTTCTCTGCCTCCTCCATCTGTCCCAAACCTCTTCTGAACCTGCCAGCCCTGGTTGCCTCCTTTCCCCGCCACTTTTGCCTTGCCAGCCTGCTCTGCTTCTCCCTCTGCAGAGAGCGATAGTCCAGGCAGCCAGGAGGAGGAGGAGGAGGAGGAGGAGTGCCTGCTGAGTCTGACATCACCCTCTCAATCCCATACAGCAGTGGAAGGGGAGTGGAGAAAGTCGAGAAGGAGGCGCGGGGGGAGGGAGGATGGCACCCACTGCCCACTGCCTGGGAAAGGGATAGAGACAGCTGGACCGTGGCAACTTTCAGCCTCTCCCCTTTCTCCTCCTTCCCTTCCCAAGCGCTCCTTATCTTCCCATCCCACTGCCTTGGTTGCAAACGGGACCTCCGCTGCCTAAAGGGACGGAGAGGAAGGCTGCGCGCCTTTCCTCCATCCTCTTTACTCTGGGTTGCAGCGGGGGATCAAGGCCATGCAGGTGTCGCTCTCCAGGAAGTCTACTGACGGAAATCTTTCGGAAACATTTCTCTATAAGAGAGCAGGACAAAGAAATCCTTTCCCTTGGTTGTTGTAGGTTTTCTCGGGCTGTATGGCCATCTTCCAGAAGCACTCTCTCCTGACGTTTCGCCTGCATCTGTGGCAAGCATCCTCAGAGTTTGTGAGGTCTGTTGGAAACTAGGAAAACTGGGTTTATATATCTGTGGAAGGTCCTTTCCCTTACTTTTTCTCTCGATGCAACTTGCTGCAGCGCCGAGGTTTGGAATCCAGCGCCTGGGAAGAAGAGAGCGCCTTCTGTGGTGAGTGATTCTCTGAGCATGTCCTGAGTGCTGGGGCTAGGATAGCGCAGGCTGCTGGGTTGACTGAAGACTGAGTTGATCAATTTATATAAGGAATGCCATTTTACTGTGCCACTGGATATAATGGAACATAAGTATCCACGAATTTGGTATCTGTGGGGGATCCCAAAATCCAATACCATCGGACACCAAAAGCTCACCGACCCACTCCCATTCCAGTTTCAAGTGTAAGCTTTAGGGACGAGCCTTTAACAGCCTCACTAAACTACAAACCTCAGATTTTTGCAGGAGGCAGAAACTGGATTTAAAGTAGATTCATTCTCTAATGCAGGCATCCTCAAACTGCGGCCCTCCAACTGTTTGGGCCTTCAACTCCCAGAATTCCTGACAATTAAACCAGCTCCTTAGGGCTTCTGGGAGTTGGAGGCTTAAAAAGGCAGAGGGCCGCAGTTTGAGGATGCCTGCTCTCGTGTGATGAGTCCCATAGAGTCATAGAACCCCCAGTGGCACAATGGGTTAAACCCTTGTGCCAGCAGGACTGCAGACTGAAAGGTTGGTGGTTTGAAGCCAGGGAGCGAGGTGAGCTCCCATCTGTCAGCTCCAGCTTCTCATGCGGAGACATGAGAGAAGCCTCCCACAAGGATGGTCAAACATCTGAGCGTCCCGTGGGCAACGTCTTTGCAGACAGAGTGGGATGGGCTCCTGTCTGTTGGCTACAGCTTCTCATGCTGAGACATGAAACTTCCCATAGGATGGTAAAAACATTTGAGTGTCCCCTGGGCAATTTCCTTGTAGACAGCCAATTCTCTCACACCAGAAGTGACTTGCAGTTTCTCAAGTCACTCCCAACACGAAAAAATAGAATCTTAAGAAACGTCAGGAGAAATGCCTCTAGAACATGGCTCTATAGCCCGAAAAAACCCACAAGAACCTAGAATCTTAAGAGTTGGAAGAGACCACAAGGGCCAGGCCCGTAGCCAGGATTTTGTTTCGGGGGGGGGGGGGGCTAAAAAATTTTCAGGGGGGTGGGGGGGCTGAGTTTGGGGGGGGCTGAGTCTGAGTGAAAGAGGGTCTACCCTAGCAAACCTTTTGTATCATTACTCCAATACCCCCATGCATATGGGATATATTGAGTATGGTGATCAGATCATGATATGAATAAACATAACAGTTTAAATAATGCACCAGTAAGGCCTTTTCGCGAACCACCATGAGAATTTCAGGGGGGGGGGCTGAAGCCCTCCAAGCCCCCCCCCCCCCCCCCCCCCCCCCCCCCCCCCCCCCCCCCCCCCCCCCCCCCCCCCCGGCTACATGCCTGACAAGGGCCATCTAGTCCAACTCCCGGGCATGCAGGAAAAGCACAATCAAAGCACTCCCAGATAGATGGCCATCCAGTCTCTGTTTAAAAGCCTCCAAAGCAGGAATCTCTACTTTGGGACAGTGATTTCCACTGTACAATAGTTCTGACTGTCAGGAAGTTCTTTCCAAAACTGTAAGATGGTCCTGTAGTGGCTTGTCCACATGGACTCTTGGGCTGCATGTTAATCTCATGGCGATGCTGTGCTGGCTAGGACGCTTTGGAATACATGAGTATGTTGAATGGGTCATCTGGCTTTCCCCTTCAATATTCCCCTGCCCTGATATAATTGTGGGTTGTTCTTTCAAAACCCTTGTGGTCAAGAAAGGCATGAGAAATTATTTGGACCAAGAACACCATCAGAGATGATTTGGATCATTATGGGTTTGCCAAATGGCAATTCTTCTGAGGAGACTTTTTTTGTGTGTGTGTGATTCCAAGACCCTCCATGGGCTGACACACGGGGTACAGCTTTATACACTAGGGAATGGGAAACATCTCAGTTGCTGCTATTCTGCACAGAAAGGCACACTTGCAGAGGGAAGTTGAAAATCTGGCAATCATGCCTCCTTAAGGTTAAACCCTTGTGCCAGCAGGACTGCTGACTGAAAGGTCAACAGTTTGAATCTGGGGAGCAGGGTGAGCTCCTATCTGTCAGCTCCAGCTTCTCATGCGTGGACATGAGAGAAGCCTCCCACAGGATGGTATAGCATCTGTGCATCCCCTGGGCAATGTCCTTGCAGATGGCCAGTTCTCTCACACCAGAAGCGACTTGCAGTTTCTCAAGTCGTTCCTGACATGAAAAAAAGCCTCAATAGGGAAGTATTAATGCTTCTGTCTTACTTTTGCAGCAAAGGAAACTTCTGACGGATCTGGTGCTAAAAAACTGGAAGCTGAAACAGAGGGGAGAAGAGAGAGACTGGCTACCAGCTTCATCATGGACTTTTTCTCAGCAAGTACAGTTGGGCTGGGCCTTGCAAAGTTGATCATGACAGATTGATGGCTTGAGTTTTGGCAGACTGTTTACCCTTCAGGGTTTAGTGTATATATAGATATAGATATATATCCCATTACACAAGAATAAGTTGAAACTGGGAGACATTGAGGAAGGACCAGTGCAATTTCAGCTCTCTGCTCTCCTCCTTTTCCATGCCCATGTGAATGTGCAGAGCTGGCAAGTTTGGTAGATAACTCAAGAGCCTTGGGATTTTCTTGCCATGGCTTCAGCGGATGGGCTGCAGTATCGAGCTCTCTATGAATATAAGAAGCATCGGGAAGAAGACCTGGCTCTCTGTCCAGGAGATTTGCTGACAGTCAACAAAGCTGGGTTTATGTGTGTGGACTACAAAGAAGGTGAAGAGAGGAACCCCAAAGGCTGGCTGAATGGCTTTAATGAACGTACCAAGGAGCAAGGAGATTTCCCAGGCACCTATGTAGAATACCTGGGCCCCGTGAGGATCATGGCCCCTACCCCAAAGCTCCGGCCCCTGCCTCCAACACCTTCCAAACACCTGAGGGGTAAGTCGGTGTATTTATAATATGGTTTCCAAGTGAGCCCCCACATTATTGTTATTGTTGTTGTGTGACTGCGCTATTTCCGACATATTTAAGGCAAACCTTACACAAGGTAAAACAAGTTGTTCAGAGGAGATTTGCCTTTGCCTTCTCATGGGGCCAAGAGAGTATGACTTGCCCAAGGTCACCCAGTCCGTTTCCATGGCCCTGCAGGGATTCAAATCCTGGCCTCTGGAGTTGTAGTCCAACGCTTAAAGCATAACACCATGCTGGCTCTCAGATTGTAATAGCTTCCCGGAATTGTGGCAGCATTTCCTAACTGTGTCTTTGCACAGCAACCAAACTGGGAGCTGTGCTCTCTCATTGGCTGGCCTCAAGCTGAGCACTGACGTTCATAGGACTTTCTCAAGCTCTGCTCTCAGTATCAGTGCATCATCACTCCACTGAAAAGGAAAGAAATACTTGTGTCCCATCCCCCGTCCCTCCACTGCCACCAAACATCCCCATTAAAAATGTAAAATGCAGGTTTTACAAAGCAGAGCTCTCTGGGAAGCTATGGGGTTGTACAATTTATAAACTGTGTGGTTTGAGAGCGACATGTTCCCCCAGAGCATGCTGTGTGCAAACCACTGGAGGATTTAGGCTGGGGTTGGGAACATCTTGGGCCAGATTTCCAGCTAGTTTTTTGTTCAAGGTAATCATTTACATACGAGCAAGTCGGTCTGGCTAGCCAGACATGTGGCTGTGTGTGCTGATGGCTGGGAACAGAGTGTTTATTCTGGGATGGGGTTCATTGGGAAGAGGATTATGAAGCCATTTCTGGAGTTTATTTCTATGAAGAAACAAAAATACTCTTGACATTTAGAAATGTTTCATCTCTTCAGATGATGTGCATAAAGAAAGGCCTGCTGTTGATTAAGAGAAAGCCCAGTGGTGTAGCCTCTTCTTTTGGTAAAGTTCAGCAGAGATCCTTGAGGCCACTGGGAAAGCCATAATGAAGTGGGAAGTGATGGATATGTATGTATGTATGTCTACCCTGCTTCATAGCAGAGTGCTGCCGCAGGCTGTTAGACCAGAAGGCAGGCACATTTGCCTTTGAGACAGCAGGTTCAAAATATAGCTCAGCTGCCCCCATAGTATATATTTGGTGGAAAGGATAACAGGGTCTTGTGACATCTTAAAAACTAAGGTTGCAACTACACTGTTAGTTCATGCAATTTGGCATCACTTTAACTGCCATGGTTCAGTGCTATGGAATCCTGGGAGCTGTAGTTTTTAAAGGTCTTTAACCTTTTTGGGGCCGTGGTGGTGCAGCAGATTAAACCTCTAAGCTGAATAGCTTGCTGATTGGAAAGTCAGTGGTTTGAATCCAGGAAGCAGGGTGAGCTCCTGTTGTTAGCCCCAGCTTCTGCCAACCTAGCAGTTCAAAAACATGCAAATGTGAGTAGATAAATAGGTACTGCTTCAGCGGGAAGGTAATGGTGCTCCATGCAGTCATGTTGGCCACATGACCTAGAAAGCATTTACAGACAATGCCAGCTCTTCAACTTAGAAATGGAGATGAGCACCACCCCTCGGAGTCAGACGCGATTAGACTTAATGTCAAGGGGAAACCTTTACCTTTATCATTTTCTACCAAGGAGTGCTGGGGACTCACCAAACTACAAATTGCAGTGTCAGACTGCATTCATTCTATGGTGCGGATGCACCCAAACAAGTCCAGATTATTTGAAAGGCCATATTCTCCCTTACAAATTATCCTATGCTTTGAGATATGCAGGGATGGCGTTCTTTAGGCCCTATCATTCTCACAGCTACATCAGGAGGGAACAAGGAAAGAGTCTTCCCAGTGGTTGCCCCCAAGCTCTGGAATTCTCTTCAGAGAGAAGGTAGACTGACGCCCTCACTGCTTTCTTTTTGTAGAAAAGGAATTACTGATGCATTTTTTCATTTGCTGTTAGGTGCTTTGCATTCCAAACTAGGGAAAAAATGGGAAAAGTCAGGAAGGAAGTAAATACTGTACAACAACAAGACATTTTGACATAGAACCATAGAATCGGAAGAGAACATAAGGGCCATCCAGTCCTAGCTTGCTCCATCTTCAATATGACATCCTTTCAAATATTTAAACATGGCTATTAAGGACTGAAGCCCATTTCTTCAGATGCAAAACCTGTGTCAAAGTAAAATTGTTAAATCTTTATTATTCCACAAAACTCTTTGGTGTTTGTTTGTGTCTGCTGCAGACTAATGGGGCTATCTTTCTGAGTCTGAAAGAAATGTTTTCCATCGGCTTTTCATTCATAAGGTTAATAATATGCTTCCTAAGGTACATGAGACAAAACTCCTTGCACATAAAGGCTGGGCAATTTGTTCTCTGCAGAGAATTCCAACCCCTCTCTTACGTTTTGTGTCTGTGAAACAAAACTGAATGTGCAGAATCTAGACCTTCAAATAAGGTTTTCAGTGCTTGAGTAACAAATTACCTACTTCACTATAAATTGTGAGGAGTGGATATTATATGCAAAGTTAACACTGAGCCTTGTTCCCTGACTAATGGATGTATTTTAGCCTTTATGTACATCGTGTATATTTTGCTACTCACATTTTGACACAATCAAAGAAGGTAGATGGCAGAGCCACAATTGAAAGTGGGTTTTTAACCCCTCCTTTCTACTAAAATAGTATTCATGGTTGCTAGCAATAAAATGTCAAACTATGTCAAAGTATAACCACATTTCTAAGCTACCTTAAGAATATTAACTAAATCATACCTGCTAACTAATGGCATACTTAAAAATGAACAAGGATCTTAATGGACTGTTGGCTGGCCTACATTGGTCCTACTTTTAGCTCTTTTAAGACATCGGCATAATCAGGCCATGGGATAGCCCTATGGTGTGAACTATGAACCCTTTGGATTAGAAGCCTGTTTCTGATGCAGTTTGGAACCTGATTTGGGTCTCTGATGTGGTTTGGAGCCTGCTTTGGCAATTATGAACTTTTTTTGTCATGTCAGGGGTGACTTGAGAAACTGCAAGTCGCTTCTGGTGTGAGAGAATTGACCGTCTGCAAGGACCTTGCCCAGGGGACGCCCGGATGTTTTGATGTTTTATCATCCTTGTGGGAGGCTTCATCGTGTCCCCACATGAGGAGCTAGAACTGATAGAGGGAGCTCATCCGTGCTCTCCCCGGATTTGAACCTGTGACCTGTCGGTCTTCAGTCCTGCCGGCACAGGGGTTTAACCCACTGCACCACCGGGGGCTCCTATAATGATGAACATGATTTGATCTGAATCAGTTTCAATCCAATCTATTCCCACAAAAGGCAAATCTATACTGAGAATTTATTTTTAATACAGATTGAAGTCAACTTCAGACTTCAATGGCTACAAAACACACTAAGCCAAATCATGCTACTGTTTGAATTAAAGGGCTTAAAGTGCATCAAGAAAACCTGGGGGAAAGTCTGAGCTAAACTCCTTCATGCATTTCAGGAAGTCCTAAATCTAAACCAGATCACATAATGAAATCAGCCCCGCAGAATGCAAAACACATTGTAGAAACCCGCTTATGCAAGAGTTTGTTTTAAAGTTTGGAATGAGAAGTAACAAATTTACAGATCACTTCCTGTTAAGAAAAAGGCCTCTGTTGTCGTTGTTGTTTGGTGGCAATCCCAAAGTAAACCTATCTTTAGGTTTTCCTGCCATGATTTTGTTATGTGATTTCAGTTCTGCTAGAACCATGGATTCAGGGCCCGGAGTGCCAAGCTGCCAGAGGACCAGATAAGACACAGGCAGGCTGAAGGCAATGCAGAGGCTTTAGTCTCAATGGCTAGAGAGGATGTCAGCAGGGACCCCCCTGAAAGAACTGACATGCTGCAATAGTGAACCCAGAGCATTTTTATTTCATTTTGACAGCTATATATTCAAGAAATCTGCACTGACTCCAGAAACTGTCCAGCTAGTATCTGTATCCTGAGTCACTCAGGACTCAGTCCAACATCATTGCTGGTTGGCTCTTGTGGTGGCGGGAAATTTAATACACTGTCATTGGAGTATTTGAAGTGTCAATCTGTTTATTAATCAGCCTCTGAGAGGGGTGTGATCAGAAAGAAATGCAGTGTGGCAATCACCAGTGGGTTCATGATGGGCTTAATGGTTGGACTCTGGTGAACACCATGGGGTTAGTCCAAAATACTCAATTGGCGCTTAAGATGATGAGCATTTCAATGGGTGTTGTGAGAGTGAGGCTGGCTTGAGGCATGGGAGATGGATCGTTCACTCTGATAATGCTGATCATATCAGGGGAAACAAGAAAAGGGACTCAAGGCTTTTAATGAAAGTTTTGTTATGTGCTCCCCTCATGTCTCCCAGTCCATTGTAAAGGAATTATGGAGATTTTAAAGGATTGTTGCCTGGGATCCACAGGGTGTTAGAAAACATTCCAAAGTCAATTTTAAAAAAAGATTACTGCAGAGCACAGGCATGCGTGCTTGCTGTATGTCAAATAGAGCCGTATCTATAGATTTATAAATTTTATATTTCATATTTTTGGAGGACCTGACTTCCTTGATAACAATTTAATCTGAAGAGATTTTGCAAGAGAAAAGGGTATGGGTGCAAACTTCACTCTAAAGTAGTAGAGTAGCAGATTGGTACAGTCACTTAGTGCATGATCACACCAAAATGTAGTTTCTAAATCAGGCATGGAGAAACTAAGGTCCTCAGGCCAGACACAACCCTCTGGGCACTTATGTCAGGTCCTCCTAATTTTCCCTGTGGCTTACGGTGTCCTTATGCTAAAAAGATGGGGAGGGAAGACACATGGTGCCTGGAAGCACTCCTGAGCACTCTGAGCTGCTTCGTGTCTTCCTCAGGCCATCCTCTTGGCATAAGGATGGGAGGACGGTCCCAGGAAGGCAGGTAGTGACTGAAGGGGCTCTGGAGCCCTCTCGGCCACCACCTGCATCTCCTCTCGGCATAAGGATGGGGCAGATTGCC